TCCATTATCTTGAAATCATAATCTTATAAAGATCAAAACTTCTTTTCGAGAACTTTTCATAATGTAACCTTTACAATTCGATCTGCAAGATAAATTTTTCGCAAGTTTAGTCGAAACTCCTAGTTTCAATTCATTCATTGTTGTCAAACAATAGGTGTATATGAATAAATAGTAATTAGACCAAATTGAAGAGATACATATTAGATTCATATAACTCATGCATCCACACCCACACCCTATTGAGGATTCATTCAATTTTAATTTTACATCATTACATACGTGCATAACTAAAATTATATTGATAGTAAATGTATTTCAACGGAAAACATATTAGGAAACATGTTTCTCTATAGAAACTGATGTTAAATCATTGATACTATCAACATCTATTCTATATGATACAGTGAAAACGTGGAATATTATGGGCGCAAAATATGATTAAAAAACTCATCTATCAACAAATTCTGTTTTTGCATGCAAGCGAAAGACAGTCATCTATATTTGCATACAGTTGACAAATAATGAAAAGTATCGCTGGTATATCATCAATGGCCTCAACGTGATTTAGTTAATTATCCTACATATAAACTTCGTAAATCACCAAATTCAGTTCGATGGTATTCTGTACCTGAATCATCGTTTTGATTTTTTTTATGAAAAAACTGATGTTACTGTAGCATATATGTTTTTCTATGGTTTACTTATTTATGGTTTTAGTAAAGAATATATTGTTTTATTATATGATTTTACTCTATATCTTATTTTAGCTGCAACTGTCATTACTGTTGTTAAAAAGTAAATAGATATAAATATTATTATTTTAATTAAAAAAAAATAATAATAATAATAATTTTTTTCTAGACTTGGTCCAACAGTTGGAAATGTTTTTCGTGGTTGGCATCAAGAAGAAGTTGATAGATAGAATTCAATTGTTAATTATTCAAAATCAATGCCTGGATAAATGTTCCATGCCTATGAAGAATCGTTAGAACGTCCTAAAACTATTGGAAAATAACACTGAACCACGAAAATATATAATTAATATGGGATTAGAAAGATAATATCGACAAAAACTTAAACAAATCTCTGAAGCTGTTAAACGTCGATTAGATAATCAACGTTGCTTTAGAAAATGCAGGAAAAGATTTTGAAAGAATAAATATGATTAATTCGATTATAAATCAAGTTAAACAATCAATTAGAGATAAACAAGAAAAAGATACTTTACAATAATGTTTCCAACAAGTTAAACAAATTCCTTGACAAACATAATCACTCAATTAGCTTTACTTTTAGACTAAAATAAAACATATTACTCATTTATAATTACAAATTTTTTTCTTCAATTCCCTTCCACAAAGATTTAATAGAAAAAACAACAACAACAAGTAGAAATAGACTGATTAGATTTCTATAGATCTTTTCTGTTTTTTTTTCTTTTATTTTTCCGAAATCTTGTAAAAAAAACCAAGAAAATAAGAAAAGTGTAATGTTAATCGAAAATGATTATTTGTTACTGTTGTTGATAGAATTCTATATAAAATATCGAATTATTCTATATATCAATCGAAATATTATTTAAACAAATCATCTAGAACAATCGTTTTCGAGAATTTATTCCGATTTTTTATTTATTTATATAAGAAAAAAAAATCGAATAAAATTCTTCTTCATTTCATATTTTTATAAATTTTTCTAAGAGATTTTCTCATATTATTTAATATCGTCATCTATATATATATAAGAATATCATTTTTTATACATCTCAATATCAGAATAAATCGATTATAGAAGGTGAAACTCTTATCTAGATTGATATTCTATTAAATATAATCGTTCGAATAACAATTATTTATGATAATATTATTGAAAATAATCTAGTTTCAATGTTGAGAAGGATAAACAACATTCGATATAGTCGAATGTTATTTTATCAATTATTTATAAAAGAAAAAAAAACAAAAAACGGTGTATATTAATAAATTGATTTCATAATATTGATATTTATTTTATTAAATAACGATCGAAGAAGATTTATTTTGTTTCGATATATATATAGTACCATTTCGAACTTCAATCGGTTTTTTTTGATTTCTTTTTTCAACTAGAATATAAAATTAAATTTTAATGGGCAAATTTTTAAAAAAATTCTTTTGTTTTATATTTTAGATTGACTTATAAGAAAAAAGAAAAGAAAAAATAAAAGATTCGTCAATGTTGGTATTGGTAGAATAACGAAATATCGTCGACTTGTATAATCAGATTGAAAGTAAGTATTTACTTTTTAAAATAAAATTAATATCTTTTAATTTATATATATATTTACAATTGGTGATGGATTTATTTATCTATGGATTGTTAAAAGAGGAGAATATTTAAGATAAATTAATCAGAATTCAAATTGAAATTATCAACAAATAATTCTCCCTCAATCAATCAATCCAAATAACCAACTTCAACTATTTGAAATTTTATCATTTTATATTATCAACAATATTATACTAAATAAGAATTTTTTTTATTTTATTTATATATTAGTTATGTCTTGCACAACAAAATGGTATTATCAATGTTTAGGATTATGAAGATCGAATTCTTATTCATGTACTTTTTTTTGTTTTTTTTTTATTAAAAAATTTCATTAAAAAAAAGACGTTACTCTTTCATATGGGATTGAGTCAACCGTAAATGTTAAAGAAGAATTGAGTTTATTTTAATATTCTTCTATTAAACTGAACAATGAATAATCTTATAATTGATAGAAATAGATATTAACTTTATCTATTAATCAGATATTTAACAAAATAGTTCAAATCTATTTTATATAATCAACTTTATTTTATTGACTATTCGATTAAAGTTAAAGATAAAATGTTAACGTTTCTCAATGGTTTATCTCCGTTCTATATCTCGATTTCCAGAAGTTTTTTTCTTCTTAACAATAATACTCGAAATCATCTCAAATTTGATTCAAATCGAAACTATTTCCAGACAAATTCACTACATTCAACTTGATTAGTTTTATTTTGTTTTTTTTTCGAATGTTTGATCTGTTGAACAGAGAAAAATCTTGTTGATTTACTTGTTTTTTTTTGTTTTGTTATGAGTTGTTGACATCGTTCGATTTAACTCATATTTGACTATAGAAGAGTAAATCAACGTTGTCGATCGTTCGATTGAATATATTTAGGTTGATTGGTGATTATCTGAATATTATATTGATATTATAAATTTCTATTTATTTAGAATATATTCTTTATCTCTATATATATTCAATGAGGCAATTTTTTCTATTAAACATAGTCAAATATTAAATTGTTCGAATAAATTAGATTTTGACAATCATTTATAGTAAAAGGTCGATTGTGATTAAATGAGATGATCTTCTCAGATAATGATACTTTGAAATGAGACACTCTTTATCAATCTTTTGTTTATCGTTTCGAATTGAATTTATTGAGATAATTGAAAACTGTTATTCGACTAATCGTTTAAGGTAAACATTTATTTAAATCTTTCATCATTTTACTGGTCAAGATTCGATAACAAGTTTGAACAAGAAATTTTAAAATACGATTGATCTTGTTCACCGATGTTTTATGATCGATGAAAAGGATTTTTCGAAAAAAAAAAAAACGTTGACTAGTTTATTAGTAGTTATTGATCAGATTGTAGGACGGTAACCATTAAAATATCGAATAACGTTGACTATTTCACCTATGAATATATAGAGGATGCTCTTATTTAACTGGTCAATGATCTCTATCATTCTCAATCTCGAGTAACACTTGATTATGTAACGATAATATAAAATTGTTTTTAATTTGATTTATATCTGATAAATAGAACGAGATAAGAATTAGTTTTCGAAATAAATCAACGTATCTATTTGAATTCTTCTCGAAGAATATTTAAATTAAAAAAATTCTTTCGAAATTTAAATTCTCTATTTGACATTAAGATTAAATAAAATGATTCTCATTATTAACAACTAAAATAATTTCGACTTTTTCAAAAAACAAGAAGATTTAAATCGGTTCGATGTCTCATGTCCTATAGAACGAATTCGATCTTTGACAACATTTCTAGACGAATGATAAATTCTTTGTTTTAAATTTATCTTGACAAATCTTTTCTCAACTATTCGACTAAAACATTCATTCTCGTCTTGTTTTTTTTTTCTATTATATTGATTATATATAAGTCTGAATACAGAAAAGTCTCGTCCAATAATCAGTGATCGATTTTCATAAGATTTAATAACGTTTGAAAAAAAAAACAAAAGGATAAATGAGATATCAGTTTAATTATGAAAAAAAACACACATACACACGAATAATCTATTTCAAAATTGTTTTATTTAGACAATAAAAGTTGAATTTAAAATAATTGATTTATATTCAATCGTTAATTCAGGTTTATATCTATTTGGTAAATATTATATTTATATTAAAAAAAAATCTTTTATTATTTAAGTATATTATCTTTATCGAATTGAATCAATTCTTAATAAATCTAAAACCTATTATTTTATTTGATAAACGTTCCATGTTTACCAAAATCAATTTTATTTTACAAAAAAAGTAATTTATTTTAATTAATATTGAATAAATATAATTATTATAATTAAACGGGTGAAATATCTGTATTTATAAATATTGTTCGAACAATAATATATATATTAAATATATTAAATAATCAAATTAAATATTAATCATATCATGATAAGATAACATCTAAACAAATTCATCCAAATAAAGAATCTGTTGCATTAGGAACACAATCTCCTCGAATTGCTCTTTGGTCAGAAATTTATTTTATTCTTATATATTTAAATAATTTCTATTTTTTATTTTTAGACAGAATTTTATAAATTCAACAAATAAAGAACCAACAATATCATATTTACATTGGCATTCATTACCTGTTCTTTGTTTAGCATTTTCATTTGATGGTTCGTTTTTTTTTTTTTTAAATTTCTTTAAATATAAAAGGTTGATATGTTATTATCTGGTGGTAATGAATGTGTACTTGTTAAATGGGTTTATCGAAAAAGTGAACGAACATTTCGACCACGAGTTGGTGCACCAATAATTCATCTTAGTTCATCAAATTATCAAACATTTTATGTATCTACTCATGAAGATAATTCGATTTTTTTACTCGCTTTTTTTATTCAAATAAATCTTCCTTTTTTTTTTAGGTCTTCATGTTATTGGAAGTAATTTATCAATTCAACAAACAATCAGTGGAATTAATCATATGTTTCTTCCTCAACAAGCTTCTTTACCAGCTGGTAAAAATAAAAACAAAATTTTCCTTGAGTTGTTTTTTTTTTTTTTTTTTTTTTCATTATAAAAAAGTTGCAGAAGTCTATCATTGATAGAGAAAAGAATATTATTGAAAAATTGCTAGAATATCCAAGATGATTTATTGTTGTTTTTGTTTTTTAAATATATATAGAGTTAATTATTTATCGTTCTAGAAAAGAATAACCTAGATTTTCTATTATGATTTACAATAGAAATCTTTGACAAGGATCTTCTTTTCTTTCTCATTTATTTTCATAATTATTTAGGAAAAATCATTTTCAACAAAAGTTGAAATCATTTTCATGATTTCAAGAGATAGTTTTCAACTTTTAAAGATTTTCAAATATTATTGATTTGATTTTTGTTTAGCTAAAAACGGTAAAAATTCGGTATATTTAAAATGTAAATATCCTAGTTAATATTGTTATTCTATGATAAATAAATAAATAAAGGTTCGATAATGATTATTTATTCTATTTGATAATAAGACTTTTATCATAAAAATAAATTTATTTTATGAAAATTCTCTTTATCCATATTAAAAATAATTAAAAATAATATAAATAACTAAATATTTATTTAAAGATATTCATACGTGTTATGCGTCAAGAATCAATTGTTCTGAATAGTGGAAAACCTGCTTATCTTCAATTTATCTCAATTAATAACGGAAAATTACTTTATTATGTAATCAAGAATAACAAAAGATTTTTTGAAATTTATAAATAAAAATAATATTTTGTTTTTTCTTGTTAAGTTGGATATTGTTCAAGAAAATGATGTTTCACCAAACGATATAACTGATCAATGTCTTTTTACAGATATTAAACGTTTAGCTATTGATCGAACAGGTTTTCATTTAAGAATATTTTTCTTAATTTGTTATATAATTAAGATAAATGGTTAGTTAGTTTTGAAGAACGTTGATCTAATTCTAATAAAAATGATTATCTTAATGAAAGAAAACTTAAATTTTCGATATTTAATCAAACAAATAATCAGGAAGATTTTATTGTTTAGATATTTATTTTAATTTATCTCGAAAATAAATATTTGAATTAAATCCAACAATTATGTATCCACATCGACAATAAACATTAAATAAAATCTGATTTCATCCAAATAAACTTCAATTAGCAACAACTGGAAATTATGGATTTATTTAAATTTCGACTTTTATTACATAAAATACAATAAAAAGTAAATTTTTTATTATTTTATTATTTTAATTGAAAATTGAAATCTAATTATCTATCAAATTAGATGAAAAAATAATATCGACATTTTATTGATAAGAATTCTCGAGATTTCAATCTCGAGAATTTCTATTATATTCGAGAATATAATTCAAATTTCAACTTTTATCAGTTAAAAGAATTATTTTATAAATAGAAATATTTCTATACTGAACTCAGTCAAAAATTAGTCAGAGTGATAGTGTTAATACCATCTAATAATCTTTAACAAACTTTTTCTCAATATAGTTTTGAAGAGAAAAGAATAGTCGATTGTTTCTATCCGATTTTATCATAGTTTTATTTATCTAATTATAATAACAATAGAACGATAAGAACTGTTTTCTTCCTATGTTTCGCGGTTACCTAACGGTCACTTTTAAAAGAGGGCAGATAAGTCTTTTTTTGAATAACTTTTGTTAAAAACAAGATAGAGTATTGTGCTTTTCACTGTTGGAAAGAGAAGATGAAGATACATCAAATCGTCTATTAGAAGGTTTCATCATCTGATTTTTTTAATAATCTTTTCAATTAACGTTTTTTCAGAGGAAACCTATCCGGAAAGTTGTTTACAGTGAATTGTTCAATAATAAAGTATAGATTCAAATCAATAATCGAAGATCTACAAACTACGGAAATCTTAGATGAATAATATGTACTTTAGTGCAGCTTAGAATTCTCTTTTCTTTATAAAAAAGAAGATTTTTTTTTTTTTTTGAGCGTCAGAAAATCGAATAAAAGTACTTGAAAAATGAATATTAGAAAAATGGATAAAATATGTTTCGATGCATCTTCATCTTTTATTTTCAACGATAAAAATTTCAATTCTCTATCTTATTTATATGAGAAGTTATTCGAAAAATATTCACTACCATTTGTGTAATCGTGATACATAGAAATAAAAGAGTTCTTATCGTTCTATTGTTATCATAATTAGATAAATAAAACTATTATAAAATCGGATAGAAACAATCGACTATTCTTTTCTCTTGAAGAGTATATTGAGAAAAACGTTTATTAAAGATTATTAGATCGTATTAACACTATCACTCTGACTAATTTTTGACTGAGTTAACTATAGAAATATTTCTATAATTAATTGTTAAGAATTAATTGAGAATAAATGTTAAATAAAAGAATATGTAAAATCTAATTGAATAATGAATAAAATGTTCGGAATAAAAAAAACTAAAAATATTGTTATGTGTCGAAGGTATATATCATTGCCGTTGTTTATCTGGTTATACAAATCGTTGATATTCAAGTTTACCATTATCTTATTATAAATAATCTGATTCAAATCAAATAAATTTATGTTGTTCATTTGAAGATATAGTTAGGAATTCGATTGATAAAACAAATGATTTAAATAATGAGTCTGATTATGAATATTGACGTTGTTTTTCTCATTTTGATCGAAATAATAAACGTTGAATATATTTTATTTAATTCTTATTTGTCATAAAACATTAGTTTATTTATCAAATTGTTTAAATCGACAATTTATTAAATCATTTTCATGGGATGTTGATGCTCTAGCTCAACGATCCAAGATCATCTTTTCTTGCTTTATTTCATAAAAGTTTTCGTAAGTTTTATTTTAAAATCAATTTTTTTTTTTAATTAAAAAAATGTTTAGTTGATTTTTATTGATTTTCTGATGTAAAATGTCATTTAGGTAAAAGTTGATTATTTCGAGATGTGACAGGAGGTAGATATATACAAAATATAAAATCATCTTCATTTATTCATTTTCAACATTCTCAATTCATTTTTTATATTCCACAATAGGTTATTTAATTTAATTTATTTTTATTTTATTATAAAATATATTCTTAAACGATAGATTATTATTTTGTTCAAATAAAATCAGTGATGAGATATTATCAAATTGAATTGATTTCTATACCATCATTCTTTTTATAGATTTTATCATTGGATAATATAATCATAGATTGAGTCATATGATCAAATCAACTTTTTTCAATCTCATCATCTCATCTTTTTCGTGTTTTTATAAAAAAATATTTATCATTAAATTCTATTCGAAGAGAAATTTTTATTTTCGAATCATCATTTATCATATAAATTTGTTTTCATAGACGTACAATTATTACTTATCTATTTAAATATAATATTTGTCTATATTATAGAATTTAAATTCTTATTCAAACGATTATTTAACTAAGAAATCTCAGTGTTATTATATAGACTTATTATATAGAAATAAATGGTCATTCGTTAAAGACATCCTTCACTTAAAATGAATAGTATCATTATAGTTTATTCTCATTTTCATAGAAAACAATCCTTGACACACTGAGCACGCGCTAAACGAATGGAAAATAAATGTTTCAATCAATAATAAATCTCTTTTAATAGACTCGAATAACGATATATTTTATTAGAAATAATTCAAACAATTATTTGATTAGTTAACAATGATTTTTTTTAATTATATAAAGAGAATGAAAAATAAATTTGTCATTAATAATGATGAGAATCATCATTCGTATATTAAATCTAATAATTATCTTTAGAAATATAATAAAATGTTACAATTAAAAAAAAAATTGAAAAAATCTGTTCGAAGAACGTTGATAAATTTGAAAAATAATCTTGTTAATAGAATGCATTTATCCTTTATAATCATATATCGACAATAGTTTACCAACTCTAGTTAACTCGATCTAGAATTCCTAACATTAACGTTAAACATTGTTTAGAAAGAATATATTTGACATCAATTTTTCTTTCGGTTAACGTCACCGAAATCAAATTGAGACTTAAATAGATAAACATTTTAAAAAATAATATTATCTCTTATATTAAGAATAACAATAAAAAGAAAAATAAAAGAAAAATATTTGTCAAATCGATTTAGGAAAAAAATCTATTTAAGAATTTTTTAGATTTATTCGAAATAAATTTTCAAATAATATTATCTTTTCTTTTAACAACATTTTTTATATATCAATATTAGTTTTCAGACTTTCAATTAAATTTAATAAAAAACAAAAATATTTTGTGTTTTTAGGGTTTAAAAACATTTGTTGATGATGATAATGATAAATATTTAATTCCAATAAATGGAAAATTAGAAGTATCAAATGAAGAAAGAACTATTTTACCAAATCTAAATGGTCAATCTCAACAATGATAATCAGAAATATTTCGTTAATAAACAAATATATTTTGATTATTTAACAAAATAAAATAAAAGAATAAATTATCTTAATGAACAACGTTTGTCTTTATTTCTATCTATAGTTAATATCTTATATTATAATTATTAACAACACCAGATTATCTATTTCCATCAATTGATTATTATTCTATTGATACATTAAAAGGAATGCTTTTAACAATTGATTATCATTATAACAAGTAATTTACTTATTTATATTTAAATGAAATAAATTTCTTTAGAGAAATTGATTCAAATGATGATAAACAAAATGATAATTTGTCAACAATGTCAATTGATTCTCAACAAGATTTATAAGAAAAAAAATCAAATTTCTTATTCTTTGTTTTTTTTGTTTTTCATAGAATTGAATGAAAGTTTTTTTTTCCAAAAAGAAATATTTTTATTGTTGATGGAGTTCTTTTTGTGTACTCAAAAAGTTGATACACTCTACAATCGGTCACTGTGTCCGGCCGGCCGTTTACACGATAACTCTTCAAAGACTCATACGATTCCGATCAAATTTTCTACACAGTTTTTTCTTAACAATGTTTCGGTCGAGAGAAGAAGATGAGAATGATTGGCCGAGCCATTGATGAGTTATTGCAAAAATAGTCATTTTTCCCTATGAGAAGATTGACCCTTCTCTGTTTTCCTTAAAAACTTTTCCTTGAATAGTCAAATAAGACCACAACTATTATATACCATTCGATAGAGAATTTCACGAGCTACAAAATGGTATATAAAAGATAAGGAAACAAGAAAGTTAACTCACCTATTGCAAAGATAATTAAATGGAATTCGATTTTGTTTTTGTCCACGCTCTAATTGATCGATAAATAGAGGTCTATCTTTCGATCACAGAGATGATAGTTCGAGGTTTTCTTGGGTGAAGAACTCGAATCTGTGTTCCATTCGCCTCGAAATTCCATTGGTTGAGTAGTGACCAATAGAAATGAAGTTATAGGAAAAACGAGTTTCTTAGGATAAATCAAGGTGAAGAGTTGAAATCTTCTCTGTATCTTCCTCCAAATCCTATTGGTTGAGCAGTAACCAATAGAAATGAAGTGTTTATAGAAAAGGTTTGGCAGGACAATTTTGATGTCCACACATTCATCGGATGACTCATCTCTCTCATTCACTTTTCTTCAGTACACATAACTCTCGGATTTATATCCGAGGTTTCCGCATTTATTTTTCTTTAAGAATCCGTTATATCAATGTTCAACAATATTTATTTAGTTAGGTTTTATAGAAAATATTTTCAACAACTAGATTAAATGATACCTGATCAACTCTGAAATCTTCGATATTTAATTAGTTTATTTAAATAACGTGCGTAAAAGTCTATAAATTATTTTGACCTCTAAAAGAAAAAATAATTAAAATAGAAAAGACTTTTTCTCATATTCAATATAAAAAGTAAAGAGATTGAAAGAGTTATGTTCGACCTTTTTCAACTCCTCTCTATAAATATAATCCAATACCTTTCGGAAATCGATCATCTAAGAGAACGTTAAAGTTTCTATATACGTTTTCAAAAAAGTAACACTAATTATTAACAAATCTAGAAAATTCTCCTAACAAATATTTGACTCCTTGTGGCAACTGGTACACTAAACGCTATACTACTAAGACTCTCTTATTTAATATAATAGAAACTGTTAAATTTTGTATTGATAGGATTCTAATGATAGATTTAAAACTAAAAAGAATAATAATATAGTTCGAATGTAAACATAGTCTAATCTTCTGTTTATGAATAAGACTCGAAATATTGAACTAGACATAATGATGAAATTGTGCAAAGTATTTTTGGTGTTGACATATTGATCAATCGACCATTATTTGGTATAATCTCTCAATTGAAATAAAGTCTATTTGACGTCAATGATTTTACAGAAACGATCGAATCATATATAAATATGTTTTGAATCTCCTATGAGACATTGAAAACAAATAAATCGAATAACTATTTATTTGTAAAAGCATAGGTTTCATTCGTATCAATTCGAAAGTAATTATTATAAATAATTATTAAATAACAAGTTAAATATAATAATTGATTAGATCAATTCTGATGTATTATAGAGTCTATAAGACAATGAACTTTTTTAAGGAAATATTTATCTAGGGAACACTAATTAGAATTAAAATTAAAATATCCAAAACAAAAAAAAATCTATATTAATATTTGATTATAGAACAATGAAAAATCTAATAACCGGTTAGATATTATAAACGTATTTGTTTGATAAGATGATCTCTATAATATATTGTTAATAAGGTTTTGATATAGTTTTATTTTCTAATCTGAATATAGATTCTCTCTTAAATATACTTCTAAGATATAATTTGAGTTTCTATTCTCAATATTAACGTTCGATTAAATCTTGTTAAATTGTTTCATCTCGATGATTTGAAGTCAGTCGCATAGATAAATAATATTTTATTTGTGATAATACTAATATTATTATAAATATATTTTATATGAGATAAACTTTATTCATTTTGTTGACATTGACGTTAAATAATATATTTATAGAATAAAAATTGTCAATATTTATTGTTAGATAGTCTTGTCTGATGATGATGGTTGACGTTATTGTTCAGTTTGACGAAACTGTTCAAGCTAGACTGTGGCATATGATCATCATCTAATAAATAGTATCAGATTGAAAAACTAATCGATGATTGTTGTTGTTCAGGTTTTAGATAAAATAATTGATGGGTTCCTTTCTTTAAACCGATTTTTATATTTAAATAATCGATTAACAATTGTTTAATTCATAGTTAATAACCTTGAAGATAATGCATTTGAGTGTTCTAATAATGATAAATTATGAAGAATTGTCAAACAGTCCAGTTGAAATAAGTAGATTCGTTAAGAAATAATTTCCAATCAAAACTAATCGTAGGTTTAACATGTTAACCTAATAATCGTTACCTCGGCTAATTTTTCACATTGAAATGATTTTTTCTAGACTTATTGATTGATTATATTTACGTTGGTATGATTGTCATAGGGTATAGAGATGCCATACGACGTCATTCGTTATATTATTTTCAATTCCATTATGAATATTTCCTAAAGCTTATTTAAGTCGGCTGACTGCACGAAGTGATGATAGAGCCGACGTATTGCTTTTTACTCGCTTAGTTCCCATGGTAAATTCTTTTTTCTCAATAGATGAGTCATGATTCAAGTCAGCCACTCATTCTCAGCTTCCAACGATCATTTTGAATCGAAAAAAAGCTTGGCGAGATCCTGAGAACGTGACGAGTGCACATCTCAATTCCGTTTTTCGAAATCCGGCATCATTTGGGAGATATGAAAAAGGCGAGAATGATAATTAACAGCTGAGAGATTGCTTATATGTCGATACATGATTCAATCTTAAGTCACCATTCATAGGTTAGATGTCAAATGTATATATATTTTAATTATCGTCTTCTGTCAGATAAAATCGTTCACCATGAAGTCTCGAATGTTGAAAAATATATTCGAATGACTTATATAAATGAGATGCGAAGAACTATGATGAACAATTGAATGTTTCCTTATATATAGGAATAGCTGATTCAGATTGATTATCTTTCACTAGTCAACCGAGTCAAGATACGTGAACGCGAATAAAATTCATAATGACTTCCTCTACGGTATTCTATGATTTAAAAATAGGAGATGTCGTTTACAATGGTATTCGAATATTTTTCGGACTCGTGCAGTCAGCCGACATCCCATCCAACGCGGAGCGATGAATGTCAGTCTAGTCTTCTTCTTGTTTTCTATCGATAAAATAAATAATTAACCCATTGACCGTCGCCGACGTATATATACGTCAGGAGTCTCATCTTTGCGTGAACTGACGTAATCATTCCTAATCTATGTTTCTTAGGTGTATTTGCGTAAAAACCAATATTAGGCATCATATGCTTCCTAAATCATTATTTTGTCAGGACACTTATAGAATCATTCCATAAAAAAACGAATAAATTTTCTGCAAAATTATATCTTTCTTCTTTTATGTCGACAGCCAAAGGGTTAAAGCTTGTATAGTCAATGTTTTTAAGAAAAAAAAATAGTGGTAAATGTAATTTTCAATTTTTAAATACACTATAGATACCATTAGAATTTGACTATTTTTTAAATATTCTCTATCATCTCTCAAACCTTTCTTAGATTTTTTTTTTGTTCATAAAAACACTGTTTAAATCAGATATGATAATATACGGATTTAAAAAAGTAAGATGAAGTAATATCCTAACAAGTTTTTTAAATAGGCTATTTTCACCTTCTCTCAATAATTGAGCCAGACGATCGATTTTATTGAACTGGTCGTGGCGTAATTACCTATCTAGAAGAAAAAGAAACGAGAAAAGAAATAAGTATAGACAATAATGTCAATTTTAACTTTTCAAAAAATGCCAATACTCTTCAATTTCTTTCTGTTCTAATTTAAAAACTAATAAAATTATGATAGAAAGAATGAAATCCTAATATGAGAGAACAAGAAAATAAATAAAAAATTAAATGTAAAGAAGAACGATCGATACTGGACATATCCAACAATCAATATTTGTTGAATATGTCGATTCGAAGAATTTTAATCGTTGAATAGAAGACTATTGACATTAAATAAAGAGATCTATTATATCGAACACTAATCATTTATTATTTTAAGGATATGTTTTATGCATATCTACAACACCATAACAAACGAATATATCGAATATATTTTCACGTCAAACTGACAAAAAACAAATTTGTTGTTCTAATGAAGACTTAAATTTAAAGATGATGATGATATATCACTAAGAATAAATAATATCCATTGAGAATTTAATAAGAGTTAATATTATTTCGACATACGTTATATAGAAGAGTAAATAGAATCTTTTTTCTTTTGTCATTTCTATTTTTTGTGCAACTAGATTATCTTTTAAATGAAACTTTGGATTTTTGTCTTAAA